ACTTCAACCAAACTTTCCATTTTAAAATTTTATTGCTAAAGTTGAAATGCAAGAGTCTAGAAATGTGGACAGTACCCTTTCCAGCACTTAAGAAATTGGTATTTCTACACTAAATTATAGTGACATTTATTTATTTACTTATATGTTTTGTACGGGGTCTCACCACAAAGCTTTGACTTATAGTGATCCTCCTGTTTTCAGTCTCCTCAGTGCTGGGATTACAGGCATTTTCCACCATGCCCAATCTCAGTGGCCTTCTCAGTGCACCGGGGGGCAAGGCTGGTGCACCGTGTGGTGCCAGGGATCATATCTAGTAGCTTATTGTGTCACCAATAGAAATGATGTATTTAGTGAGAAAGAGCCCACTCATTCCTACACATTTGAAAATTGGAACTATGTGTTCTGGCTCACACTTCAGTTGAAGATATATGTATCATTCTGTAGGACAACAACTCAAACTTGCAGGGATTATCATTCATCTAATAACATAACCAAAATTTTACAAAATGAATAAACCTATCAGGGGATGACAGACAAACCTCTGGGGAACAGAGTTGTGCTGGGTTCTAATTAAAATATTCAGTTGGCAGATCAGCAATAAGTAATGAAGGTGTCCAGGTCAACTTCAGTGAGAGAAAAGTAAATTTGGAGATGTAAATGGATAATATTCAGCCCAAGACCTTGTGAAATGCTTGGAGTTGACCCATATGCTGCTTTCCACAATAAATTTTTCTTCTCCTATGCCCCCCATGACATCATCTAAACTTGAGGATTATAATGCTCATTAATCTAAAGTTTTGTTGTTTTCCCATCTCTACTGCCTCTTTAGCTATCCCTATGAGGCAAAGGCTGAGTCCTTCATCTCTGTAACACCACTGTCTTGGTATCATTGTTGTGCTTAATTCGTGTACATTGTATGGATGTGTGAGTAGATGGTTGGATGACTAAGTAAACAGGCTATCTTCAACACAAATGTACAAAACACTGATGATCATCATCTTTCTAAAGACACTGATATACAAAGGTTTAATCAAATATTGTCCTGGGGTTGACCAGGGTGTGTCCCTCATGATCAGTCTACTCTAGGAATCTAGATTCACAGCTGTAGTGACCATGGTCAAAAAAATAATTTACTCCCATAAGGAACTCTAATCTGTTAACACAACCATATTTTGATTATTCATTTCATTGTATAGTTTCTCTTTCCTCCACACTATACACCCCCAAGCCTCTGGCTTTTCCCTTAATCCTACTGTACTGTCCAAATCTTCAATACATTTTTTTAAAAAAATCTTTTATTTGTCTATTCATTTATTTGGTACAGGGTCTTGCCATGCTGCTTGGACTCACAGTGATCCTCCTGTCTCAGCCTCCCCATTGCTGGGATTACAGGCATACACCACCACACCCAGCTTTGGTGGCCTGGCAAGGTGCACCCTGGATTCCAAGTCCAGCACATCATGCAGTACCAGGGATCGAACTCCAGTCCTTGCACTTGCCAGACAGGTGCTTAGACCACCTCGCTATCTCCACAGCCCCACTGTCTGAATCTTAACCCCTGTTAAATCCAACTCTCTGCTTTCTCTGTAACTATACAACCATCTAATGTTTTATAATGAACAAGATACAATTATGCTGAATATGCTTATCCAGTTTTAATATCCTGAGAAATATGGGGAGAATGCAGTTGCCTGGGAAGACAATGCAAAACAATTCATTGATATAGGGAAACACTGAAGATTTCACGTGGATCAAACACTTGATATACCCAACTCATTCCCTGTCATCACCTTGAAATATGTGCCATGCAGCTACACTGTAAGTCATTTGGGATCATTGTGTTTTGGTGATAGATGGATATGACACCAAACTGCATATTGCCAATCTAAGCCAAATCAATTTGAAGCTGACTTCTAGAAAGGCTACATATGGAAAGAATCTTCTGTATCATTTTATATAATCTCGTAGAAAAATAAAGACTTAAAAAAATTCCTTCCTCCTGTTTCCTACCTAAATCCTAATGGAAATACAAATTCAACATATGCATTCACATAAATAAGCCAGAAAATTTCTCTGACTCTCACACAAGCCTCCAA